ATATTTCCTAAAATTGTTGTAAAACAGTGAGATAAACATTGATGATTATGTAGTATTATCATTATGCACTCAATTAGAATATTCCACGTCTTGCACTCAACTTTAAAAATGCTCTATATCTGCCGTTTACTTGAGTATTATGACGAAATTTGCATGTATGTCTTGTAACGTAATCATTGCTCTCTTCCATTAAAATTTAGTTGCATGGGGTTTGTGTAAAAAAATTAATCTGTAAGTGTTTGGATTCATATTCCATTGATTTCTTTACATCTCATTATGCACGTCAATTGTTAAAAGTAATATTTTATAGTAGTTTCAATTGCAAATTAAATTAAAGTGAACATTATCTTGTGAATATGATGGTACTAATGATGTAAATTATTATCTTTGTATGAAAAAAATATGTGACTATTTAAATTGATAAAGCCCATTTTTGGGTGTGATTAACTCTGAAATCTCGATCACTAAGCATGCCTAGACAAATTCATTTTTTTGGTAATTGATGTGGAATTTAAAGACGGACATATTCATCTTTTTGGCCACGTCAACCGGGCCCACACAAGTGGCGAGTGCTATCTTCACTTCATTTCAATAGCTTTAATTGACCATTTTAACCCTCAACGATATGGTTTGAATTTGTGGAATCCATTTGTGGAATCTTTGTTTGCCTCATGTTTGATCGTTGAATAGTTTTTATTTTCCAAAAAAAAAATCATGCTTATTGTTTGTGGGCCAACCACCACCCAAGAATACTGTTTGGAATTTGTGAAACCATAAAAAGGGCCATATATGCATGGATGCTTTTAAATATATATTTTTTTCCTAATTTTTGAATACAACAACCATGTCAAATTCACGCCAAACCAAAGTTAACAACAACGAAATCATAATTTGTGGTATTAATATACACACGCATTGTCATTATTGTTGTGCCAAATAATCACGCAAACAATCTCATTCACTTCGTGGCATTTTCAGTGACCAGATAATATTTCCCCTTTGCAGGTTGCGAAAAATCAATATCAGGCCTATATATAGCACGAGCCAAGATGCGTGCATCATGAGTATTCCTCGTTGTACCTACAAGCACAAATGTGAAACACAAATTAAAATCATATGCTGCAAACACATTTTGCGTGAAATTTCTTTCTGTTCGATAAAATTCACTCGTTCATTCTGAGGTAAAATGGCTCTCACGTGTGTGCTATCAATCGTACACAATTGATGCACGTTCGAATCTAGTGTGTGATGCTCAACGCCGTGACTGTAATTCGGATATGTTCAAATTAGACGAGCAGAGAATACGACGACAACTTGAAGAACAAGCTTGAAGTAGTGTCCTATAGTTTCCAACAAATGATTGAATAGCATTTGAACCTATCTATAGCATTTTCCATGCGCTAATATGCAGAAGAACATGCCAACTTGTCCGTATACGTGTACGTGTTGTCCACCACACAACTCGTACTCATTGCAAAGAATGTGTAAACTGTTGTAGTATTGTTGGATACATTCAAAATTTTGCATAGCACTGTCGAAGGCTGCATTTCTTAGCATCTAACATGAACATATTCTCGTTTCTTGAAACGAACACCTACAAATATGATGCCTCTGTTCGCGGTAGTAGTTCCACACGGCAAGGTAGGTGATTCGACATTATTGAAGCCACTCAACGAAGTCCTGCTGCAACTCTTCTAGATATGCATCTTTGCCAACTTTAGCTTTTAAATCAGAGTTAGGCAACATACGATTGAAATCAAAATCCGCCATACTAGTAATCCTATATAAGAAATTTCCAAAGGACTTCAATATAAATTTTGTGGAAAGAATAATTATATTTTCAAGCAGACTACGGTTTCGAATGAAGAAGAAAGTCTACACGTTTGTCTCCTTTTATAGAAGTTACTCCCTTCTAAACTTCTCCACCCCCAAATAATGATAAAAAATAGTTAAACATGTGATTGATGGGAAATGTCCTTATGTGCTTGTATACCTATAGCAGATAATTTTTTGAAAGTTGAAGAAAACGCCATCTTTTGTTGATTGTAGGCATGTAGTAAAATCTAAGTGAATCGTACGTTTTTGTATTGACAATAACGTAGCAGAAATATTACTTCAAATCATACACGCTTGATAGAATTAGTGTTAATGCAATACAACAAACATACAAATAAAAATGTGAACTTAATTGTACCGAATGTTTTCACCTCAAACTGATGAAATTGAAAAATCTTTCTCGATATCACAAGAAAAATCTCACTGTGGTTGTGATTTCTTGTTCTCCTGCCAGTTCCACTCTCCCACTCGAACTTTTCAATGGTATCGTCATACATTTGTAGTGCCCCCTATAGGAAAGAAACCATGGACGTCCAGTAGTAAAGGTCGTTTTTCTTTTGAAGTCTGTCCATCCCCAACAACTCCTCCAAGCATGTTTTCTAGTTAGGAACAGGAGGTCCGATAAAGTGATCAAGTTTGGATGCGACCTGTTCATTGGCAGTGATCTCAGTTAACAGAGTACAACAGTTCGTGTGTTGAAATTTTCATCTTCTTCTCATTTTTCTTATGGCACACCTACTTACGTTTATCTCCATTGTGTGGTACAGAAACATCCATACTTGATGCAACCTTCCCAATTTTCTCGGCCTCAACACTTGAGTCGTTGCTCTCCACATTGATCGGTATTTCATTGCGGTAGTCTTCATATCCCCTATCCTCAAACATTGTGAAGCCAGTTCTACAAAGCTTTGTTGAACACATCCCATAATAGAGATTTATAACTGTAGATCTCTCTACGGTCTTTGTGCTTGTAATCATTATAATCTTTGTTCTCATGTGCCAAAATAAAAAAAAAAAATAGATCAAACATATTTTGACATTGATAATGAATTCCATTCAAAATTCAAAATCTGAAAACTAGCCACACATTTAGCAATTCATGATTCTATCCCCCATCATTCAACTCGATACACGCTTGTAGGTTCATCTTTTAACACCCACCCACTAACAAAGATTATCAGTATGATCCAATATTAAAAAAAGAGTAAAATCCAATTTTCTTCGAATCATAAACATGCAAATATGATTTCTCCCAATCCAACTCTGTCTTTTGAGATCTTATAGGGTTCAAATCTAGACACAGATGCATGACCTAGGAAAGAAATTCATCAAAAAGAACATACACAGCCATTTGATGTGATAAAGGACTCGGGAAAGGTAAAATAATTTCGATTGAAAATGTTTTCGTCTTTTAAACGTGGACAAGCTTTGTTTTTGTCGTAATTTTTTTCTGTTTTAGGAATGGAAAGGAAACAGAGTAAAGGATTGGGTGCATGTGTGTTGATTTAAGTTAATCGGAATCCTAACAGTTTTAACTCTTTCAATCAAACAAGTGATCGTGTGAAAAACCAGGCCAAATTCACGGTGTAAAAAATGAAATCACAACGTAAATTCAAAAATAGAGATCAAATTCACTGCTTCAAAAGAAATCACAATGCAAATTCGAAAAACTGCAGGTCAAACTCATAGCTTATACAAGTGCAATGACAACGCAAATTCGAAAATCAAGGTGAAATTTACAGCTTCAAATAATGAAATCACCAAGCAAATTCAAAAGTTACAGTAGCTGAACAATGTCATTGGGAAATCAAGGTGAACATATGGTTTAGGCGACAAGCAAGGTACCTTCATCTTTCATTGCCACCATTCCTCTGAAGCAATAATTCTCCCAGTTATGGAATTGTATTCAACACCAGTGCAATGAAGTAATTCCTCCAAGCATTTATGTTTAAGACGAAGAGCATCCTAATGATTTTTCAGCTGCTGCTTGTTCCAATCCTGCCTGGAATTGGAGTTGAACAAGAAAATAAGTCTATCCCAGCCGCATTTCGTGAAGCACTTCCCGTTCCGGTGTCCTTTGACGATGATGGTCTCGCAGGCGGCAACGAAATATTGTTTTCAATTGAATTCCATTGTGCATTCTTTTAGGATGGTGCTTGATTGTGAACCAAATTCATGTTGGAAGTAGACAACTGAGCATAGAAACCTATTTGCGGCGAGAAACGGGAAAAGGATTTTACAAATGAACTTTTCGACCTAGGTGAAGAACAAACCACAGAACATTGAAAAAATGTAGACACTTACCGGATTAAAAAAAAAAGATCCATGGTACTTTAGTGACGTTGGTCTGTGATCCCAAAAAATCGACGACTCTTGAAAAATGTGTCGCATATGACCTTTGACCGTATGGCAACCAGATTCAACAGCGCTGGATGTGATCCACATAGCACAAACTAACGGCTTGCTCAATGACCAGCGAAGATGATGAACGGCGATGATACAATGCTCAGGATCTTCTCTGTGTTTTTTTTTTGGATGAAGATAGTAGGTGAAAAGATGAACAAAAAGTGGGTAATTGAGTTTTGCAAAATTGAGGGAAAAATTGGGAAGTTGGATGTAAATACTGCTGCAATTGTCTGAATATTTGTCAGTCGGTTTTATATAAGAAATTCCTTTCATGCATTTTTTTAACGGTCCCAAAATATGATTTTATCACACCCAGACATGGG